TAATGTGCTTCGACAACTGCAGACGTTCACCTAAGAAAATATCATAAAAAACCTCAGCACCAAACAATATGTCCACAACGCCTGGTACATTAAGTTGAGGATMAGCTAGGTTATCTTTGATATTATCAGGTATGTTTAATTGATCAAGGCCGAACACTTGACACGGGAGTCTTTCAGTTATGGATGGCAATGAATGAAATTCAACTGAAGAGTGGTAATMTTGACAATATGATGATATAGTGCATGGCATTAAACGTATAGTGGAAGTGGACATGGTACCAACACCAGATATTGCCAATGAAACATTTGTTTTCTTTAAACGTAAGCGTTGAGCACAAGWAGATGTTATAAAGTTGAGTTGAKATCCAGCATCCAAAATTGCTCTACACCGTTGAGGTTGTCCATCAGCATTATGAACATATACTGCAGCAGTGGCAAGCATTACAGTAGACATAGTGTTAAGTGGATGTTTATTACTAGTCGTTGCATGGCATACTGCATTAGTTTGACTGGTTATCTGCATCTCAGTTTGGGTCAACATGAAGTTTTGAATTATGTTTCWTTCCGCACCTTGGACATCCAGGGTAATAACAAGTTTCAAATTGATGTCCAACATTCAAACAGTTAAAACACAGTTTGAATTTAGATACARCATCCCTGCGCTCAGGCACTGACAGTTGKTTGAATTGGTTGCAGGCATAAACTTTATGTGGCGCTGCACATAACACACACTTTTTAGAATGAGCTTCAAATTTTTTTGCAAAAAATGCCTTGGCATCATGTTTTTTGGTTACATAGTTAGTTTGTCTTCCACTGGTTTGTTTTTGATCAGATTTCGATGAAATGCAACCCWYTTCATAAGCAGCTATGCGCTTGGATAGGAGCTCCTTACTTGCCTGTAATAACTGCCACTCGCCAGCTGTAGTAGAGTCTAGATGACAACAGATAATTGTTATCAACCAGGCATCCCAGTGGATCACAGGCTGCTTCAGAGCCGTGAGAGATCGTACGTGGGARTTAATGTGGTAATGTAATTTTTTCAATTCAGCAGCAGAATTAGTATGCACCTTTGGGGAGTTCAATAATGCTCGAATATGCACTTGAATGGTTAATGCATTATTCTCATATTGTTTGACTAATTCATTGTAAGCAGCTTGATAATTATCCGATGTGATTGAGAATCCTTTTATGACTTCAGCAGCTGAATGAGAAACGCTTGATTTTAGATAATGCAACCGGATAGATTATGGAAGTGACGACTCAGATGCTGACCGTACYTGGCATCCCCAGAAAGTTCAAATAATTGGCGCATCTGATTTTTCGGATTCGGGCGAAGAAGACATTGTAACCGAAAACGTACCTGTTGTCTCTACTTCAGGCTAAAATCAAACGCTTTCACCATCATCCCCCTTACAACAACAAATAGACCAGAATCCATTACCAAATGCGACTATTCTGAATACTGGTTGGACTCAAAAATCATTTATTGGAAAACCGTTACCAGGTAATAATTTTGGGCCTTATTTACCGATTAACATCAGAACTCCATTTGATTATGTCAAAACATATCTTCCTGATAAACATTTTGAGGAAGCAGCATTGTATACAAATATGTATGTAATGAGCAAAACGGGAAAAGAACTGAAAACTACTGCAAATGAAATACAAAKTGTGTACGGTGTCCATGCTATGATGAGTGTGTTTAAGTACCCTCAATTAAAAATGTATTGGGATAGTAGAGGCATGGGTTTTGGTCCTATTTCACAAGTTATTAYGAGGGACAGATTTTTGAAATTGCGCTCTAGTTTGCACTATTTCGATATTAATAATCGTCCGGCTGGTAATAATAACCGATTTTGGAAAGTTCAATCAATAATTGATCAAGYTCGTAATGCGTGTAGAAATATTCCCCGTTTAGTTGACTGTTACTCGGTAGATGAGCAAATGATTCCGTTTACTGGTCGATGTCCAAGCAGACAATATGTTAAAAACAAACCACGACCCACTGGCTTAAAAAATTTCGTAATTATTACGTCAAAAGGGAAAGTAATTGATTTCGAAATTTATCAAGGTGTCGATACGCCATTCCGAGACAAATCGTTGGGGCTAGGACCGGCAGTCGTACTTCATTTGTCTCAAAGTATTCCGCAGGGATCAGTTTTATTTTTCGACCGGTACTTTACAACAGTATCATTATTGGATCGGTTGTTTAGTGAGGGACTAATGGCTACAGGCACAATAATTTCAAATAGATAAAGRAACGTGCATTTTAGTCAAGACAAAAAATTCCAAAGAGGTGTTTGGGAGGAGTTCACAAGGTGTGACAATCAAATATCTGCGACCAAATGGAAGGATAGTAAGGGCCGATTTCACCAAAAAAGCTTTAATCGCGATTTCAGTTAAAGTTACTATCTGAAATAGATACAATATGGATGGTACATTTAAATTTTGTCCTCGATTTTTTACAYAAATGTTTACCATTCATATACTTAAAAATGGTCATTATATTCCTATAATTTTTTGTTTATTCTTAAACAAAAGTTATGAAACTTATGTATATACTTTTAATAAAATAAATAGTCTGTTAAATCAATTTAATATACAATTTTCTCCAAAATGGGTCACAATAGACTTTGAAATGGCAATTCACAAAGCTGTAGA